AGCTGTTTCTTCTGTTCTGTAGTTCAGACTGAATGGTCCTGAGGACAATAATGATGCTGGTTAAGGGACAGAGCTCATAATATTCACCAGATCCCATTCCAGCCTCTCCTGTCACCTCCCCTCCCCTCCCTCCTGCAGGGATCCTCGTAGAAAATACACTAGACAAGAAACAAACCATTCTAATTTCGCTCATCATTTATCAGTGCATCCCAGGTGTTTTAAAAGTAGCTGCTGTGTCTTTTCAGTGAATTGTAGAAATTGAGATGTCATGAAAAGCAGCAGCCATCTTAGAAATGTCAGGATAATTAGAAACCAAAATGCCTTATTTCCTGGTTCACAGATACAGACGGAGCTATGCACAAACTGCAAGGTGGCTGCAAGAAGAGAATTGGATGGTCTTCATGCAGGTTAAAGTGAACATAGCCGCCAAAGCACAGGACTGCTCCCCAGTTCCACACTGACTGGAGTCACTGAGGTGTGAGTGGTACATGGAGGGGCACCCTCTGAGGTTTGGCAGGGGGTGAGGGGTTTATACTATTGGTGGTTTTACCCTGTAGGCAGATTTGCTACACCTACCTCAGTGTGTCTGATGTGGAAACTGGGTGTCCAATAACAGAACGTGTCTTGTTCTCTGGGCCAGCATCCCACACCTCAAACACCAAAAGATAAGTCCCCAGGAAAGATGAACAGAACATCAGGGTAAACATCTACAGTCAACATATGGGGCTGATTTCAAACCCATAACCTCTGTGGGATGTCAATCAGTGGGGACAATTATCTGAAATTAAATTATTGGCATCACATCCACAAGCATCCACTCCTCCACTACCGATGCTCAGTGCACACGGCTGTTACTATCTACATGATGCACGGTAGAAGTTCACCAAAGATCCTCAGACAGCGCCTTCCAAACCCATAACTGCTATCATCTAGAAGGTCAAGGGGCAGCAGATACATGGGAACACCACCCCCTGCAAGTTCCCCTCCAAGCCACACCCCATCCTGACTTGGAAATATATCGCCATTCCTTTTGTGTCGCTGGGTCAAAATCGTGGAATTCCCTCCCTAAAGGCATTGTCGGTCAACCTACAGCACATGGACTGCCTTTTCAAGGGGCAACTAGGGACAGGCAATAAGTGCTGGCCCAGTCAGAGATGCCCACATCCCCCAGAGTGAATTAAAAATCATTAGCAACACAGGAATAGTGGGAAGCCATTCAGGCCTGCATCCTGTTCTAGTATCCAATGAGATTATAGCTGATGGATAACCCAAATTCCACACACCCCTCAAGACCCTCCCCAAAACAACCGTCATCAGTCTGAGTTTTGACTTTTCTAATTGACACCTATAGCCTCAGCAGCTTTCTGTGAAGGACAGCTCGAGATTTATACTGCCTGTGCATCGGGAAGTGTTTCCTGTCATCACGGGTTAATTAACCAGGCTTGAATTTTAAAATTCTGTCCCCTGTCCTACTTCACCCCACCCCCACCCCACCACAACACAGCCTCTGGAGGAGGTCATTTCTATACTGACCCTATCAGATCATTTAGTGCTATTAAACACTTTGACTACACCACCTCTTCATCTTCTATACTCAGGAGATACATGCCCAGTCTATGTAATTTATCTTCAATTTAACTTTTTTTTTAAAAATCTCTGGTATTACTTCAGTCAGTTAATCATTAGCATCTGTATTCAGAATCCCGGTACTTACAATCCAGGGCTTCACAGGGTATATCCAACAGAAACAGGCCATTCAGTCCGACCACTGAAGGCTGGTACTGATGATCTACTCAACCCTGCTCCAAGTCTCAGTGTAACACTCTACTCCCCTCTCCCTCAAACATTCCTTTAGTTCCATTAAATAAATCAGTGTTATTCACTCCAATCCCTCCCTATGGGAGCAGGTTCCACATTCTCACCTCTGTCCAAGTGGACTTCTTGGCGAATATTATACCGACGGCCTCCAATTCTGCTCTTTCCCACAAGAGGAATATTTTATGTTTTGAAACCTTTAATAATTTTAAGGGCCTCGATTAGGTCACCTTCTGTTTTCAAGAAGACAATTGGCCCCTGTCAATCATTTCCCGATGTATTTGCTTATGTTTCTGGTTTCATGCTTAGAAACATCCAGGGCACCCTCTCCAGTGCCTGTATATATTCCTCATAAAAATGATGACCAGAACTGCACGCGGTACTCTGTGCACTCCCTTCGTTCCTCCACTTCACACTTTTCCCACCGTACACTCCTCACTCTGACCTGGCTCAAACAGAGAGCAACGCTGGCTCTTGTGCCCTTGTACCTCCAGAACAGGCCAGCAGGAGGCGATCACAATTCAGCTTGCAGTGGTTGGTCGTTTCCAACCTGTCCCTCTTCTCATGAGGGATGAAATTCACCGAGACCATCATTCTGTGTGGGAACCCATCAGAACAATCAAATTCCCTCAGTTAGATCATTTCCTTTAAACTGAACATGGCCCTGCTATTTCCTAGAAAACTGACCCTGATCTGGATGCATTCTCATCGTAGATATTAATCCATTAACTTTATGTTTTTGTTTACACTTCTGAGCGCTAGAAAAACCACTGTAAATATCGGAATAAATAAACCACTTTCTGCTGTAATATACTAGAGTTCCATTGTGGATCAGTGAGATATTGGATAATCTCAGTGTATGTGTTGACCACAGCATCCAAGTCAACACAAAGTCCATTTTGGGTAAAATCAACAACTACAAAGGGAGAGAAACAGCTTCCAGTCACTGCTCACTGTCACACTCAATTGGTCATCATTGGAAGGAGCGGGTTGGGTTTTCATTCAACCTCAGCATAGCAGGAATTAAACAGCAGAGAAGAGGGTTGGGTTTTGAGAGGGGATGTGCAAGTAAATACAAAAGATGCAGGAGCAGGCTGTCACAGTCACAGCTTTATATGCACTGTCCACCATCAGCCAAATCCCTATCATCAGTTCTCTCTGCTTGTGAATTACATGATGCCTCTCCGACAATTGGCATCAATCCTCCTTCAAACACAATGTTGATTTTTAAACTTTTATTGATGTGCAGTTTCATGGATGTCCCTTGCACCATTCTGTATCAGAATGTGGAATATGCAATGCTGCTGATTGCAGCTGGTGTGAAGGTGTGGTCAATGTTGTCCATGAACTGGAGGACCCACACAGCAGGAAATGTGACTGCTCCACCTTATTCCTATCATTTCTCCACAGATCTTAAACTAAACCATGTGGCCAACATTACATTGCGGAAACAATAAACTAACTAATTGTGGATGAGAAGATTGTTTAGTTATTAGGAACCTCCCACTAAGAGTTTCAAAGCTGGTCATTTCTTTGACTCATTGAAGATTTTCACACATCAGTAAAATTGGTGTAACGAAGTTTAGATAAAATACCATTTCCAAATTAAAACTGTTCACCTGTGTTCTGTCCCTCTGTTTTAACTCCAAGGTTTCTGATGCATAACACGCTCATAATGATTCAAGTTTCCCCCAGACAACTCTCCTGTGTACAAAATTAGAGATGGATCAATGCAGTTGTGTATCACTGAGGCAGAGAGACAACTTGAAAAACCAGACACCCTCTGCTCCCAAAGAAATCTCAGCGATGTTGTTTCAAAGGTGGATCACCTGCACATCCTCCTACCTCAAAACAGCGGAAGTTTTTTTTAAAGTTTCTAACACACCATGCATAATCCCGACAAAGCAGGATTCACACCACTGCCATTTCAGAGCTGATTTCGCAATTTCCTAGTGACCCCAGAGCTCATGTTAGAATCCTGCTCCATTATGGAAGCAGCAAAAGGTAGAAAACAATGGATGGGCATCAGATCAAAGTCGGGTGAGACTCCTCAGTCGCTGGGGTCAAACATGGGATTGTAGGCAACAATACTGAAATGTGTGAAGATGATAGCAGTTACTGAGCACCCAGCCTCCACGCAAGGGATAGGAGGAGATTCAACTCACCTAAATATGGAATACATGGTGTCTCTTTCAAGCAGTTGATGTAATCTCGGAGCTCTTTATAGTTATTGTCGCTGGACATCAGAGTCTGCAGCTTTTCAAACACAGCCTTATCTTTCCTGCTCAACAGCTACAATTAAAAGAACAAACATAAGTTTAACGACCACATTCCTCTCTCACGTGAACACACAGCAGAACTACACTTTCGTATCATAGTGAACTGCAACTGCTGACAGTACACAGGAGCACATTAGGCCTTCTGAGGGAGCAAGCTCCGAACTAACCCCACAGCACAACTCCCAACTGCCCTGTCCCAATCCCAAACTAACCCCACAGCACAACTCCCAACTGCCCTGTCCCAATCCCAAACTAACCCCACGGCACAACTCCCAACTGCCCTGTCCCAATCCCAAACTAACCCCACGGCACAACTCCCAACTGGCCTGTCCCAATCCCATAATAACCCCACGGCACCATTCCCAACTGCCCTGTCTCAATCCCAAACTAACCCCACGGCACCATTCCCAATTGCCCTGTCTCAATCCCAAACTAACCCCACAGCACCACTCCCAACTGCCCTGTCTCAATCCCAAACTAACCCCACAGCACCACTCCCAACTGCCCTGTCCCAATCCCAAACTAACCGTGTTATGACCCCAGCTCGTGGTAAAACCAGAAAAGTCACATCCTGGAGCGATTCCTGGTTTAATGAACTACAAGTAGGTTTCCTAGTTTCGTTATCATGGTGTTCAGTCATGGAACATATTCACACAAGATTCCCAATACACTTTTGTTAAAAGAACACAAGTTTCTTACACATAGCAAAATTAAATAAAGCCGTTATACATTTGGAAACACCGTATTGTAAGCAGTAAAAAGAAAGATTCAACCAACAAGATCCTTTACAAACACTCAACCCCAGCAAAGTAGCCCTCAAGGGTTAAGTAGCTCAGTTGGGTGGACAGTTGCTCTGTGATGCAGAATGACACCAACAGCACAGATTTACCATGAAGGCCATACCTTCTCAACCTCACCCAAGACGTGGTGACCCTCAGGTTTCCCCACCAGTTTCCCCCCACCCCTGCCTCTCTCTCTCTCTATCATGAGAAAACAGCCTATGGTTCACTGGGAACTTCAGTAACACTGCTGCCTTCACACTTTTATTCCTTTCCACAACTAGCAAGATCACAAAGGTTTCCTTTCACATCAATCTTTCAGTCTCTCCCAAGTCCCGGTTTAACCCACTGACTTCAAGAAAAGCTCAGGAATTTTTCCAGTCCTCTTTCTTCTTGGATTGCTAAAACTGTTTTTCCCGGCTCTGTTGGCCTGGAGACCAAACTGCCCTCCTGCTGCCATGAATCTCTCCTTCTGAACGGAACCTGCCTCTAACATTTCCTTCTACAGGTTAGAAACTTTAACTTAGGAAACACTTCAGCAATTTTAGCTTAAATCAAATGATTTATTGGAAATGCTGTGTTAACTCACTGTTAAACAAAACATTTCTAACCCTTAAAAAAAAGTCACTTTTTATAGAACCGAAAACGAAAAACCTACTTACATCTACTTTAAGAAACCAAGTGCCCAAATAATAATATATTCTTTATTCATTCATGGGTATGTGGGCATTTAGTGCCCATCCCTAATTCCCCAGAGGGCAGTCAAGAGTCAGCCATATTACTGTGGGTCTGGAGTCACATGTAGGCCAGGGAAGGATGGCAGTTTCCTTCCCTAAAGGGCATTAGTGACCCAGGGGGGTTTTTCCTGACAATGGACAGTGGAGTAATTAGACTCTTAATTCCAGTTTTTTTTTAAATGGCCTAGCAAGATTCGAACATTGCCTGGATCTCTAGATTAACAGTCCAGCGATAATACCATTAGGCCATATTATAAATATTATTCACTGCTGCTCTTTCCCCACAGCCCTGTATCAATCCCAAACTCTGCCTACTTTCTGCCTGAGCACATCAAAAGGGAGAGAGGCTAAATATCTTGTGAAGTGATCTGTTCTGGTATCAGTCTTGTGGGAGGTACAGAGATCCACAATGTACTCATATGGCTCAAATTGATGAAAATTAATTCACACACACAAAAAAAAGTTCAGATAGAAAACAAAACAATCACAGCACAAAACAATCCATGAGCATTATGATTGCCAATCTTCTGCCTGTTCCCTGTACTCTTCCACAGTCTAAATAATTATCCAATGGTCTCTTGAAGGCCTCGGTTGAACTTACCGCCGCCACAGTTCCTAGCAGTGCGTTCCAAACTGCCTTGTGGTTCTTGATCTTTTTACAAGAGGGGACAGCTATTCCCAATCTAGTTTGTGCAGCCTGCAAATGATTTGTAAAACCTCTAATCAGATCTCTATCAGCCGCCTTCTCTCCAAGAACGGTCCTAACCTTTTCTAATCAACCCTCATCACTGAATAAACTCAATTAGAGAGTATGGGCTGAATGAATTGACGTAATCGGATCCTTACGGCTGAAAACAAGATCATTGAGATAGGGCTATAAGATGAACTTTATTGATTTACTTTTCTGGCTTTACTTTGTGTTTTGGTTTATTTTGCGCTTTAGCTTGGTGCTGGAAAGTGGCGACCCTAAACAACACTTTTCACTGTGTTTGTAATAAATAGACATGAAAATGAATCAAATCAAATCAAATCAAGATTACCCAGCCAACAAAACTTGCATCTCTTTTTTAACTGTGCTTTTCAAACTGTTGCACAACCAACACAAATATTCAAATCTCACCATAATCCCACTACTTGACCAATTTCATCAAATTCCTGCACTGCCTGAACAGATCAGAACTTTCTGATAAAAAAACAAAATAGTGCGAGTGTGGAGAAACTCAACATCTGTCATCTGTGCAGGGAGAGAGAGAGAGAATACGCTGGATTCGTCTTCAGCATCTTCCGTCTGGTACAACGTTCAATACCACAAACAATTAAAAAGTCACCCAGAAACAGGCATCGACCTACCGCCCACGTTTTTGACAATCTGAACACCGGAGTGCTCTGTAACGCTGAAACGACTGCCATCAACCCATGAAGATTATGGAGACCCTGAAGTTTCTGCAAAAGAAACAAACTAGTTTTTAAGAGAAATCCTTTCCCTGCCCTCAATGACATGGCAGGAGGGAAGACCTTATTTCATTCTCTCTTGCTGAGTTCTTGTTACCAAAGGCTATCTAAAGCTAAGCAGGTGAGATGCACCACCTTCATTGTCTGTAGAAAACTCTCATCAATCACACACTTGGGGCAATTGGGCAAACCTTCAGGTTACTGCACAGATCTGCTCACAATCCGCAGAAACTCACTTTTGCAATTTTGATAAAATGCCCGACAACTTCCACTCTTCTTTTCAGTGACTGTTTGGTGAGAATCTCTTGGATGACCCAGAAACTGACCTGAAAAAAAGACAGAATCCTTCATTTTTCCATCACATTACTATGTCTCAGAATGCTGTGGAGGCCAAGTCATTGGGTGTGTTTAATGCAGTGATAAATGGGTTCTTGATTACTTAGGGGGTCAAGGGTTAAGGCGAGAATAGAGTTGAGAAACACATCAGCCACGATTGATGTCTTGATGGACCAAACTCTGCTCTATATTGCATGGTCTCGGACACCAATAGGCTTTAGCCAAGAATGTTATAGGTAATATTTCTTACTTGAATTTATTGCATTAAAAAGTTTTAAAACTTTAGAACTCGCCATCTCCCACAGATCCCATTAACAAGCAGCTTATCACGAGTTTAAAATTTTATTTTTCATTCTCCTGCCAAATCGTTTTACCAATTAAATATCAGTAGACTGTTTGAGGGGGACATTTAACTGAAATTCCTACAGCATGAGTGAGAAATAGACCTCAAACATGGGGTGGGGACAATCAAATGGCACTGAGCACGGACAGATTACCAGAGCAGGGCTACAGCAGCTCAATGATGCGGAAATTAAATGGACCAGATTAGTTTGAGCATTTCAATGCCTCTGGTTAGTTACCAGATCCTGCCTGGTTCCATATTCTACCTGGTTAAATCTCCTGGTAAAAGCAACCACGTTGGGAGCCAAAGTGTGTTTCTCTTTCTTGTTCCAACTGCAATCAGACAACTCCTGTTTGGAGAAAAAACAAACATGGAAGATTTAATTCCTCACCCAATGAAAACTGAATAAATTATCATTCCAGATCCCAATCTGAAATTCACCCTTCTAATCCAAATATTATTTCTCTGCTACAGACTGAAGGACACAGCTCTTCCTCTTTCTAAATCTGCGCTTTTGTTCAAGCTGCTTGCCAGAGTGTCCAGGGGTTTAAATCAGCCAATCCTTCATCTGGCCAACCCTACCAGTGCAGTACTGAGGCAGTGTTGCACTGCCCGAGGGTCAGCGCCAAGGGAGCGCCACACTGCCCGAGGGT